CCTGGGATCGAGCCCCGCAGCGGGATCTCTGCTCAGCAGGGAGCCCTCTTCCCTCTCTCTCTCTGCCTGCCTCTCTGCCTACTTGTGATCTCTGTCTGTCAAATAAATAAATAAAATATTAAAAAAAAAGAAGTATCCCATCTGCTTTCCCTTCCACATGTAGACACAATTTCCAAATCAGAAGTAATACAGTTTTACGTGGGCATTTTAAAAAAGTTTTTATTTATCTGAGAAAGGGAGAGAGCGCACAAGCAGGGTGAGCTGCAGGCAGAGAGAGAAGCAGACTCCTGCAGAGCAGGGAGCCCAAAGTGGGGCTCAATCCTAGAATCCTGAGATCATGACCTGAGCCAAGGACAGATGCTTAACTTACTGAGCCACCCAAGGGCCCCTTATTGTGGGCATTTTTAAACTGAAGGTTTTAGGGATAAATGCCAACCAACAAATTGCTTACTAAATCAGTAGGGGTTCAGAAGAAAACAAAATTTCAGTCACAGAAAGTACTTAAAGATCATCTTTCCACCTGTTACTTTTTAAATTTGCTATTTAGTTTTAAAAGTAGGTAACATGTGGATGGATATAGAAAAAAATTCAAAAAGTGCAAAGGGATTTACAGGAAAAGAGAAGCGTTTCTCTTACCACAGAACTTTAGCCAAAATTTCTCCTAGAGTCAGTTACTATTTTCTTGTGACCACTTTTGAACGTATAAGAATATATATGTGTGTCTGCGTATTTATACACAGAACAAACCATAACTGCTATTTTGCACCTTGTTTTTTCATTTAGTATATCTTGGAAATTGTTCCCTATCAGTACCTATAAAAGTGCTGGATTCTTTTTAACCACACAAAGTACATTAAAAAAAAAAAAAGATTTTATTTACGAGAGAGAGAGAGAGAGAGAGAGAGGAAGGGAGAGAGCACGAGCAGGGGGAGGAGCAGAGGGAGAGGGACATGCAGACTCTGCGCTGAGTTCAGAGTCCCACACAGGGCTCTATTTCATGACCTGAGCCAAAATCAGGAGCTGACCACTCAACGGACTGAGCCACCCAGGTGCCTCTAAAGCCTCCCTCCTAGAACATAACTGGTTGAAAATTACAATCTTGCTGAAGCTGCTCACCTCAAGGCATCCTGGGATTTGTAGTTCTTGATCAGTTGAGACTTGCATGGAAAACAGAACTTGAGCAGAAGACATGTGTTGGAAACAAGTGTCCTTCCAATGGCACTGAAGATGGACATACCATATTGTATCCTATGCACGCTCCTATCATTATGCCCAGACGCAAATTATTCATGCATTTAAGCAACCAAGATATCTACCAGCAATGAGATACCCAAGGCTGTCTTGCCATCAGGAAATCAAGATCATTTTTGCAGACAGGGACAGTACACACACACACACACACACACACATGCACCTTCTCTTCCTTACACCATTGCTTTGGTCTTCAGTATCTCAAATCACTCTTTTTTTTTTTTTAAAGATTTTATTTATTTATTTATTTATTTGACAGATCACAAGTAGGCAGAGAGGCAGGCAGAGAGAGAGGGGGGGAAGCAGGCTCCCCGCTGAGCAGAGAGCCCGATGCGGGGCTCGATCCCAGGATGCTGAGTTCATGACCTGAGCCGAAGGCAAAGGCTTAACCCACTGAGCCACCCAGGCACCCCTCAAATCACTCTTAACAATTATGTGACAAATTACTACTTAGGAAGCTTCTCTCACAAACTAAGGGATCAGAAAGGACATGTATATCAAATGAAGGCACACTGAAGTATTGTTACCAATTGCTATGGTAACTTATAGGCATTTGCACTTTAGTAGTTGTTCAGCCAAACAGAAATGAATGATGGTAGCCTCGTGAACACCAGCTACGGACTTGTGGGGAAGATTTTCTCAGCAGGCTAAGGGCAAGAAGATTCTCAGAAATGTTTTTGAGATAGCTAAGGTCCCACACTTGAACCCCCCCCCCCCGCATTTCATAACCAATGCAATCCCATTCTCTTTCCAAACCTGTTTCCATGTACTTACACATATACATACACAAAATCCAGACATTTGGTTCATTATGTGAGTTATACCTAAATGCTCTTGCCCTGTAAGTCGTATTCTGGAAATTGTTTTTTTTATTCACTCAATATATTCAGCACTTTTTTTCCTATGATAGTGCATAAAAATTAACCTCATTGTTTTTTAACTGCCGCATGGCATTCTCAAACTTGAACTTGCATTCAGATTATCTAGGGACCTTGATAACATGCAGATTATGATCTGATAGATTTGGGGTAAGCCTTGAAGTTCTTTCTGCATTTCTAGAAAGTTGCCGAGTGTTGTAGATGCTGCTGGTCAAGAAATCACACTGTGAGGAACAAAGATGTAGGGTATGGGTGAAGCTGTGTGTCAGAGCTGGCCTGGACCAGCCCATGAAAACGACTGTCAAATTGCCAGGAATTTTGTGATCCCGTCACTAAACGTAGCACTCATTAAAAAAATTCAATTATGTAAACTTAAATTATATTGCCAACAGATAAATACTCAAAAATCATGAACTTCCTAGCTATTTTATTATCAATCTATGTTCTTAAGGTTATTTATGTCTATAATGTCCATAGGGTACAAATCTATCCAGTGGCGTGCTTCTGTGTGTCTCCTCCCAACTCCACACTCAGCTTATGTTGGCAGCTTAGAACCAGCCCCAGGGATTAATTATAGCACAGGAATTGGTGTAAAGGCATGCATTTCCCCAGACCTTCTCCCACACTTCATATGACCAATCTTTTTCATTTTTGCCAATCTGACAAATCAAAAATGGTATCTCCTATTAACTTGCATTTCCCTGATTACAATGAGACCAAGTCTCTCTCATATACATTCCTAGGAATTTATTTATTTTTAAAGATTTTATGTATTTATTTGAAAGAAAGGGAGTGCAAGCCGGGAGGAGAGGGACTAGCAGACTCCCCGCTGAGCAAGGAGTCTGATGTGGGGCTTGACCCCAGGACCCTGGGATCATGACTTGAGCCAAACGCAGATGCTTAACCGACTGAGCTACCCAGGCGCCCCTCATTCCTAGAAATTTAATAGTATTTCTTGTTCTTGTAAATAGGACCCTTTTACTAGTATATTTTCTAGTTGATTATTGCTCAGGCAGGCTGATGACTTTTAAAATCAAGCCACTGGGGAGCCTGGGTGGCTCAGTGGGTTAAGCCTCTGCCTTTGGCTCAGGTCATCATCTCAGGGTCCTGGGATCAAGCCCCACGTCGGGCTTTCTGTTCAGCAGGGAGCCTGCTTCCCCTCCTCTCTGCCTGCCTCTCTCCCTGCTTGTGAACTCTCTCTCTCTGTCAAATAAATAAATAAAATCTTTAAATAAAATAAAATCAGGCCACTCCTCCTACTAGTTCAAATAGCTTGTCAGTTTATATTTCTAGAGATTCTAGGTAACCAAATAATCTATAAGTAATGAGACATTTTACTTTTCCATGTTTATAACAGCAGTAAAGCTCACCAGTGTCTTATTTCTGACTTGAAAGGAGCATTTCTGTTATTTCCCCACTAATTTCTGCAGTTACGCTTTTACCCTTTCTCCTTCTGGCTTGTAAAGAGGATTTTGTTGTTGTTGTTTTTTTTTTAATCAAGAATGGATGTTCAATTTATCCAAGGTTTATTTCACTTTCTAAGTTACCCATTTTGATGATATTTGAATTTCTCACATTAGCATGTACTCTTTTTTTGTACTCAGAAGAGCATTACAATTTTTTTAAGTTGTGTCCTTCCCTTATACATTGTACCCCTGTTTCAGCAGTTGTCACTGTCCATGAATGTGTCCCTTCCCCACTAGTAGCCAGCCTCTGGCTCTGAGGAAAAGAATGTTCTCTCCATGACCCACTCAGCACTGAAACTTTATACCTAATGACATTTCAACGAACGGTTAGGGAATGCCATGAATTTACCCCACCACCTGTACATTCTTGGACACCTGCAATACCTACTCCTGCGAACTGAGGGCTAGTGGGACTCTCCCACTGCTTCCCACCCCTCTCCTAAGGTTCCTATTCCGGCATATAAAGGGCAGATTGTGCTGTTGACCTGTAATCCCTAGAGTGCTAACACGCCTGGTTGCTGGGCCTTGTTTTGGACCCAGGGGCCACCTAGAGTCCTGATCAGAATCTATGACTAGGCGGGTATCTTGATTTTTTAAATTGTCACTCACCGCTCTTGACATATGAATATTGGGATTGCCTCCAAGAACATGTGGAGTTTGTTTCACTTGTCGTTTTAAGACGTGGGAAGAGTGCAGATAGGAGTCAAATTCTAGATGCATCCAAATGGCTGTGTGATCTTGGGCAAGTCATTAATTTCTCTATCCCTCAAGGACTTCCCGGGGCACCTAACACATACTGAGGTGCGTATGAAAAAGGGCCAGAAAAGATCTGAGAGTGACTTGTTCCAGGTTCCTGGGGACAAATTAATTGAGCCCAAACCCCACCTCTGCCATTTACTGCCCTGGACAGGTGATTCGTCTCTGTACTTGTTTTGTTCATGTATAAAATGGGGACAGTGAAAGGACAAAGTTGATAGAGCAGCTGGGAAGATAAGCAGGTAACACGCGAAGCCTTATCATAAAGCAAAAGCTCACCGTGAGCGCTCCATGAACACTGGCCCTGTTGCTTTTATTATCACAAGGGTGCATGTGGAGAGAGAGAGCACTCTGTACAGTACTCGTCGGACCAGGTGAGCTGGCGCGGGCGAGTTTTTCCTCGTACTCCCTGACCCGGGGTAGGCGTGGGGGCGCGCGGCTCGCTGCTGTCCTGGCACCTCCCGGGCAGCAGAGGGCCCCCGCCTCCAACGCGGACAGAGAGGGCGGGGCGGGCGGCGCGGCCTAGCGAGGGGCGGAGCAGACGGAGTGGCGGGGGCGGGTGGGCGGAGCGACCTAGCGAGGGGCGGAGCAGACGGGGCGGCGGGGGCGGGGCGCGCGGCCGGTTTACGGGGCGGGACTAGCACGCGGGCAGGGTTAGTGGACGCGGGCCCACGCGTGGGGCGCCATGCAGGTAGGTGTCCACTGCCCGCCCAGCTCTAACTCCGACCCCAGATCCGGCTCGGAGCCCGCTTGGGCCTAACCTCAACAGCGCGCCGAGGTGAGGGCTGTGCCTGACCCAAAGCGAAACCGAAAGTTCGGCCTCCGTGACCTGATCTTCCCGGGGGGTGGAAAAGGGTGGCCTGCTAAAGACTGGGGTCGTGGAGGCAGGGTATTCCCCGGCCAGTAGGACTTTGGCTCCTTAGTGCAGGCCGGCTCTTGAGTTAGGGGCCCGCTTGGAAGCTTGGAGCTCGGAACCGACCGGGATTTCTGGGCTGGGCGGGCACGTGGGGGTGGGGTTTAGGGGGCCGGGCTAAAGCTCGGATTAGGAGGCGGGCGGTCTTGGAAGAGCTGGGCGGTGAGCGCCGCTGGGGTTCTGATACTTCGGCTGGAGGGCCAGAGCTTTCGGCGGAAGAGGTTTGGCCCGGCATCTGCGTCCAGTCGGTGGGGAGAGGGGCGGAAGCAGAGATCCGAGCCCTGGAGCGATCACTTCGCAGGGATGGGGTTTGTGGGGGGAAGGTGGTTCCTGGGGCCTGGATAATATTAATCAAGGGTCCCAAACCTGGTAGGAGTCTGAGCAGCCCCCCTACCCCGCCTCCACTAGGTGGCCATGACCGGTAGGGCCCGCAAAGAGGCGGTGCAGGCCGCGGCCCGGGAACTCCTCAAGTTCGTGAACCGGAGTCCCTCTCCTTTCCACGGTAAGTGACCAGGTCAGGAGAGGAGGGTGGTGACCGGTGTGCCTCCTAACCCGCTTCCATCGCTATGAAAGGGCTCTTTTTCTACAGCCGTGGCCGAGTGCCGCAGCCGCCTCCTCCAGGCTGGCTTCCATGAACTCAAAGAGACGGATAGCTGGGATATCAAGCCGGAGAGCAAGGTACGTGGGGTGGGGTGGGGTGGGGTGGGGGGAGAAAAGCAGGTCCCCAGACCGGAGCTCAAAGTCCTTTGAGCCAGCTGGCTAGATAATCAGTCAATCTCCCCCCCCCCCCCCCCAGTACTTTCTGACCAGGAACTCCTCAACGATCATCGCTTTTGCTGTTGGAGGCCAATATGTTCCTGGCAATGGTTTCAGCCTCATTGGAGCCCACACGGACAGCCCTTGTCTCCGGGTGAGGAACTGAGGCTGCACTGGGGTGGGGGTGGGGGCATCAGGGAAATACACAACAAAAGCCAGTGAAGAGTACGAATTGGGGACTCTGTCCTCAGACCCGGGCAGGCTGGTCGCCCCCTTCCTCCACACTTGGAGCCCTTCTCTGTCAGCGATATTCTTCCTTTGGTCTTTGGGCCTCCATCCGTCTGTCTCATGTCCAAATCCTGCCATTTGCCTTCTCTTACTTCTCATTCTCCATCTTCACACTTAGGTGAAACGGCGGTCCCGCCGTAGCCAGGTGGGTTTCCAGCAGGTTGGCGTGGAGACCTATGGTGGTGGGATCTGGAGCACCTGGTTTGACCGGGACCTGACTTTGGCTGGACGTGTCATTGTCAAGGTGGGAACTGGGGTTGGACCCGGGAGGTTCTCACCTTCAGCAGCCCGAAGATTGACAGTGACCTTCCTTTGGGGTACCTGTGGGGAGCCCCACAGGGAAGGGAGAGTGGGGCAGCGTGGGTTTGAGGATCATGTTAGTTAGTGTGGGTGAAGTGGGGGTATTAACCTGCTGGGGTTGAGAGGCACCTGGGTTTGACCTGGCCTGGCGGGCCATAGTGCCCTACCTCAGGCCAGCTGGAGCAGCGGCTGGTGCACGTAGAGCGACCCATCCTTCGAATCCCACACCTGGCCATCCACCTGCAGCGCAACGTCAACGAGAACTTCGGGCCCAACATGGAGATGCACTTGTGAGCCTGGGGCCAGGGCTGTGGTGACCGGGAGGGATGGCTGTGGCACCAAGTGATGGCAGGGTTCCCATGGGACCTGGGACCGCAATACCTCATGGTCGCCACAGCCAGGTTCTACTCGTGGGACCCAGCTGACGATACCAGCGGGCCCTCTTAGCTGTGCCGTTTGGGAAGCTGGGAATCGAGGTACAAGGACAGTTCCCATGGGGAGATCTGAGCTCAGGGGTGCCATACCCTCTGGCTCGCCCCACGCTTCCCTCACGTGTCTCTCCACAGAGTCCCCATTCTTGCCACGGCAGTCCAGGAGGAGCTGGAGAAGGGGACTCCGGAGGCTGGGCCTGTCAGTGCTGCTGTAAGAGTGTCCCCTGCTCCTAGGAAGGTGGGAGGAGGGGGAAGGGACTGATTCCCTGGAGAAGGGGAGGAGGGAGAGAGCAGACCTTCTTCCTCCCAGTGTGCTTTTGCCCTGCAGGATGACCGGCACCACTCGGTCCTCATGTCCCTTCTCTGTGCCCATCTGGGACTGAGCCCCGAGGATATCTTGGAGATGGAGCTCTGCCTTGCTGACACCCAGCCCGCGGTAAGGCATGGCTGCAGGGACTCACGGGTGGGGATTGCAGGGATCCTGGCCTGCCCCAGTATATCCCACTTCAGCCAGTCCTCTAGTTACTCTCATCCCTCTTTTTCCCAGTAGACACCATGTTCCTCTGCCTCCAGGCCAGTGGTTCTCAAAAGGTCACTTTCGTCCTCCAGACCTGCCTTCTTGGATCCGTGCGTGGGCCCTGGGGATCAGCCCCTCCACAGATTTTTTTTTTTCCCCACACATTGTAGTTTCTGCTACCGGGGCTCGCTGTGTTCTTTGAAGATTTTATTTGTTTGTTTATTTGACAGGCAGAAATCACAAGTAGGCAGAGAGAGAGGGGGAAGCAGGCTCCCTGCTGAGCAGAGAGCCCGATGCGGGGCTTGATCCCAGGACCCTGGGATCATGACCTGAGCCGAAGGCAGAGGCTTTAACCCACTGAGCCACCCAGGCGCCCCTCACCGTGTACTTCGAACCCACCCTGGCCCTGCCCCTCTGAGGGCAGAAGGCCCGGATGCAGCCCCCTTTTTCTAGAGCCTGCCTTCAAGTCCCTCCCAGTTGTGAAATCTTCGGACGTTCGGTCCTGTTTGAATGTGCACTGTTTCTGGGCTGGTCTCCTCTTCTGTTTATTTCCTTAGCTTTTCTTGTGTCCGTTCACCTCCCTTTTCCCGGTCCCATGGGAACTGGTGGGAAACATAGACGTCACCCACCCATCTCTAAGCTTCTGCCCAGCTCCATTCCCCATTGTCCACTCAGCCCCACCCAGCAGGGTCCCGGTCCCCTAAGCTGGGGGGCGGGGGGGATGGCACGAGTTTGCACACAGACCCAAGGAGGCTCACTCCAACCCAGGCCTCTGGGAGCAGGGAGAAGCATGTGAGTTGGGGTGGAGGGTTGAAGGTTGGGCTGATTGTCCCATCTTTCTAGGTCCTAGGTGGTGCCTACGAGGAGTTCATCTTTGCCCCTCGGCTGGACAATCTGCACAGCTGCTTCTGTGCCCTGCAGGTGAGCGGGGCAGGGGGGCACCCCGGACGGGCTGCACGGCTGGGAGAACCAGTGGTCGGGGGACTGCCTCAAGGCCTAGCAGGCCTAAAAGAGCCACTGGCCACCTCCTCCGTATGCTGGTGTTAGGTGGACCATGGGGAGGGGCCACAGCTGGGGTTGGAGAAGGTTGAGAGGCTGGTTGGGGCGTCACGGTGTCTCCTAACCATGAGGAGGAGTTAGCCTCTGCTTTTGGGGAGAGGCCTTAGGGCCTCCTAAGGCAGCATTGCCCCCTTCCCTCTGCTCACCCTGCTCTCCAAGTTTATGCCCACCCAGCCTTCTGTCTGGGCCTTGGGGTCTCTGTGGGGCCTGTCTCAATCCCTCTGGTCACCTTAGAGTCCCTGCCTTCTTTCTACTCTAGGCAGTTCTATTTCTTCCTTTCCTCCTGCTCTCTCTCTTTTCATACCTCTCCCTCCTGCTCCCATCTTATTCTCAGAGATAGGCTTTGGGCCATAATAGAGACCAGGGCTGAGCCCGGGACCTGTGTCAGCTCCTACAGCCAGCCAGCTGTGTCCCCCTGATGGAGTCCCTGTCACCTCTGTGGACCTTGATCTTTTCACTGGAGCCGACAAGTTTATGTGCTCTGTGTGGTGGTTTTGACTTCCCAAACTTCTCCATTCTTCTCCTGCATTTTATTCATCCTTCTGCCTTTCACATAGGCAGGGATGGGAGCACATCTCAAGGGGGGAATTCTCCCAGCCCAGCTGAAAGGGTCTCCCGTGTGCCAGGCAGAGCCCTAAGAGACGAAGGCCAGTCAGAGCCCCAGCCTGCTTCATTACGGCTGTAGTGACGGAAAGGCAGGCGGGGAGCATGAACCTGCCAGGTGCTGCTGGGCGGGGTTATGGAAGAAAGAGGAGTGAGGAGGATGCTCTTGCTCCCCGCCAACAGGCTTTGATTGACTCCTGTTCAGCCCCTGCCTCTTTGGCCGCGGAGCCCCACGTGCGCATGATCGCGCTCTATGACAACGAAGAGGTACGTGGAGGGCTCTGTGGAGGGTCCCTTGTGGGAAGCTTCCCGCAGCCAGCTTGTGCCAGGCACCCGTGGTAAGCCAGGGCTGTTCTAGAAGCCACCAAGATGGGAAGGCCCTGCCTGTGCTCCCTTAGCCCTTGGCTGCCCTGGCTCAGCACGAGTCCGCTTCTAGGGGTGTGACTGTACTGCCCACATTGCTGTGTGTGCCACACAGTGAGCTCCTTGAGGACACAGGGACTCTGCCCTCCATCCTGCAGGCCCAGGGCTTAGGGTATGGTGGGGCCTGGCTCTGTGCGCTCCCATGAGATGCCCTCTCAGGTCCCAGATCCTGAGTAGACGGGTCCTTCGCTCGCCTGGGAGCAGTTCAGGACAAGTCTCTGCTGTCCCGAGCCCTCGGCTTCCATCTCGGGATCCAGGCTGGCTGGCTGTTCAAGCCCCTGCCATTGCCATCCTGTCTGTACTGAGAGAGGAGGATGAGAGGAAAGGGCGGAGGGAGAATACGTGCCCAACCTTTTAAGGTGCAAGCCGAAGGTGGCGTTCCTCGCTACCTGTGTTCCACAGAACTCCATCGTCCTGGCCAGGTTTAAGCTGCAAGGGAAAGCTAGGAGGGTCCTCTCTAACTGGGTAGTCCCGTGCTTAGCTCCAATTTGAGTGTTTTCTTGTGCAGGATAGCGTGGATAGTTAGTAATCTCTGTTACATGCATAAAAGATGATCGATTGGCCAGTGTGGTAGGGCATTTCTGAGCCCCAGATGTGAAGGTCAGGAGAGGAGGAGGGGAGGCAGGTGCAGGAAGCCCCCAGAAAGTTCTCTTTCTGCCCCAGGCGTGACATAGGATTTGTCCAGCTCCGGCCCACCATCAGGTTTTCAGGGGCACAGCACTGGGGAGGTTGCTTGCAACACCCTGCATTCCTCATCCCCAGAGTCAGTAGGGTCCTGGGCCAGTGGTGGTCCCAGGTGTGGGGCCCCTCTCCCTGGCTTCCAACTCTGGCCACTGAGCCCAGACCCCAGAGCCGTCTCTGTTGTTGGCAGGTGGGCTCCGAGAGCGCCCAGGGGGCCCAGTCGTTGCTGACAGAGCTGGTGCTGCGCCGGATCTCAGCCTCATTCCAGCACCTGACGGCCTTTGAGGAAGCCATCCCCAAGTCCTACATGATCAGTGCAGACATGGCCCATGCCGTGCACCCCAACTACCTGTGAGTCTGCTGGGCCAGGCGTGCAGTCCTCACAGCTGCAGGCTCCACCCCAGCCCCAGCCTCTCTCCCTTCTCCTTCCCCTTCCCCCTTGTTCTGGTAGGAAGGTCAGTGGTGGCTTCCTCTGGACAGCGCCAAGACCCATGTGGGTCAAAGTCATGTAATGCCCAAGCTGGGTGTGTTGAATAGACTCTACAGACTTCTTTCCGCCTGCTGCTAGAGGCTGCCTGGGACACATGTTCGGCATGTGTCTCAGGTCCCACCGCACTGGGTGGGAAGGAATGTTGTCCAGGGATAGATAGAGGCGGCTGTTGGGGGGCCCACCACCTGTTTGCCATCCCCATCCTTGACTCGGTTTCCTACAGGGACAAGCATGAGGAGAACCACCGGCCCTTATTCCATAAGGTGAGATGCTCCTGTTTCTCTTTAGGGACTTGAAGGCCTGCCTGGTTCTGGGCCCCGTCTCCTTCCCTGTGGGCCTACCCTCCGTGTGTGCCTCACCCAGCCTTCCTGGTTTCCCCCTCCCCAGGGCCCTGTGATCAAGGTGAACAGCAAGCAGCGCTATGCCTCAAATGCAGTTTCAGAGGCCCTGATCCGAGAGGTGGCCAGTAAGGTCGGGGTGCCCCTGCAGGTGAGGCCGGGCCCTGCCTGTGAGGACAGGATGGGGGGAATGGGGTTGTGGGGGGCATGAGCAGATGGGCCCCCATGGAAGGTGAAGCACCTGGTAGCCCACCTTTGGTGGGTGGAGTTCGTAGAGAAAAATGGGTTTTGGATCTGGGCAGAGCTGGGATCCGTGCTGGGTGTGCTGTGGGGCTAGGCACTTCGTTTCTCGGAGTCCATTTCCACACCTGTAAAATGGAACTGGTGATGGTGCCTCTTCTGGCTTTGTGTGAGAACTGAAGGTACAGTGTGCTCATGGCATGTGGGTTTAGTCCTTTCTTCCCATCCAGTTCCCCGTGGCTCTCTCCCATACCCTGGGCTCCTCCATAAGTGAAGTTCAGGGCTGGGGAGACTGGAACTCCCACCTGCTCATTTTCATTCTTGCCGTGGCAATGGCTTGGGTCGTCAGAAATAGGTGGAGGTAGAGCTATGAGGGACTGGGGTGCAGGGGGTCTGGCGACACATAGCAAGCAGAACCTGGTGGGTCAGGACTAGGGCCCCTGCCTCCTGTCTCCCGGCTCAGGGCACTCTCTCAGGGCTCAGGGCACTCCCGGCTCAGGGCACACACCTCCCCCTCCCTGCCCCATGTAGACCTGACCTTTCCCTTCTTGGGGAAGCCTCTCTGAGGAAGTGACACTTGGAGCTGAGACTTGACTACCCAGGAAGAGGCAGCTGTGGGCTAGTCTGCAGGGAGAGCTTCCCTGCAGAGGGAATGAGTGCAAAGGCCCCCAGGGGCACAGGAGTGCGCTCCCTCGGCCTCAGGGGACAGAGCAGCCTTGGGACAGAGTGAGAAGAGTAGAGGCGGGGCAAGGGCTTGAGTGCCGGGGAGAGAAGCCTGCCCAGGCTGGTCCCGCAGGGCCTCCTAGGGTGTGGAAGAGGGTCTCTCTATTCTAAGGCAGTGAGGAGACATTGGGAGAATTTCTTTAATCAAACTCACAGCAGAAGCAGGACATGTATACTTTAAAAATTCAGGAAACACAAATGCAAATAAGAAAACATGAACCCACAGAAATTAGCATATATGCTTCCAGGTTTTTTTAATACATATATACTTAACACCTATTTTATAAAAAGTTTAATCATTTTGAATATGTTTGCTTCCTCTTCACTCTGTATTCTCTACCTTTTCATCTCAGTACACTTTTGGTTCAGTAAATTTGTATCTAATCCTAATGCACAGATCATTTTGGGTTTTTTTTTGTTTTTTTGTTTTGTGTTTTTTTGAGTAAGGTCTGCGCCCAACATGGGGCTTGATCTCACAACCCCGAGATCAAGAGTTGCATGTTCTACCAACTGAGCCAGCCAGGCACCCCCAGATCAATTTCAGTTTTCCCTAGTTATCTCCAAAATATTCTTGGGGCACCTGGGTGGCTCAGTCGTTAAGCGTCTGCCTTTGGCTCAGGTCATGATCCCGGGGTCCTGAAATCAAGTCCCGCATGGGGCTCAGTGCTCAGCCTGCTTCTCCCTCTACCGTTTCCCCCTGCTTGTGTGCGCTCTCTCTCTCTGAAAAATAAATAAAATATTTTAAAAAATAATAATAAAAAAAGAAAATAACGTCAACTTGGGGTGCCTGGGTCACTCAGTCTGTTAAGCATTGAACTCTTGGTTTTGGCTCAGCCCCTGATCTCAGGGTCATGAGATCGAGCCCCGTGTTAGGCTCTGTATTCATCGGGGAGTCTGCTTGGGCTTCTGTCTCCCCCTCCCTCTGTCCATCCTGCTCGTGCACTCACTCACTCTCTGTCTGTCTCAAATAAACAGATAAATCTTAAAAAAAATAAAAGAACATTGACTTGTTGAAGAAATGTAGACTCATCATCCCACATAATGTCTCACTTTCTGGCTTTGTCTGGTTGTTTCCCGGTAGTGTTACTTAGCTGGTGCCTCTAAGCCCTGTGTCTCCTCTAAATTGGAATTCATACCCAAAGTCTTGGTAGCTTCAGGTTAGACATCTTTGGGCAGAAGACATCATGACCAGTGTGTCCTTCATGTTGGATTATACACGTATTATCTGGGTGATCCACCCTTAGTGACAATAAGATCAAGCACGTGATTGGGGTGTCCTCCAATCCCGCCATTATAGGAGGGCTTTCTCCCTTTGGCTGGACGGTAACCTGTACCAATGATGAGTCCCCTATCCACCAGACACCTGATGGTTTTGACACGCATTGATAATCCTTGCCAAAATCAATAATTTTGTTCCTCCAGTTCATCCCTTCTACGAGTCTTCCCTTTTGCAGATATTAGCAGCTATTCTGGGAGGCAGAACTTTGTGCCCATCCACTAGGGCTGTTTGGTTATCATGACATATGGTTTCTGCTGGAAAGACCCAATAGATGCTCGTTCTTTCCCTTAAATAACCAGTTTTCAAGGTGTGGTATGTTAATAGCCACTCCAAATGGGGACACACAGGGGTTTCTTTCTTTTCCTTTTCTGATATTAAATCAGATTTTAATTGGTTCAGGGTGGATCCAATGGTGTGTAGTAATTTTTTTTTTAAGTTAACTGATTTTTTAAAAAAAGATTTTATTTATTTGACAGAGAGAGAGATTACAAGTAGGCAGAGAGGCAGGCAGAGAGAGAGGGGGGAAGCAGGCTCCCTGCTGAGCAGAGAGCCTGATGTAAGGCTCGATTCCAGGACCCTGCGATCATGACCTGAGCCGAAGGCAGAGCCTTAACCCACTGAGCCACCCAAACACCCCTAGTAATTTTTTTTCAAAGATTTTATTTATTTGAAGGAGAGTGTGCATGTGCAGAGGGAGGGGCAGAGGGGGAGGGGGAGAGACAGAATCTCAAGGAGACTCCCCACTGAGCATGGAGCCCAACACAGGGCCCTGAGATCCCATGACCTTGAGATCATGACCCAAACTGAAATCAGGAGTCAGATGCTTAACTGACTGAGCCACCCAGGCACCCTTGTAGTCACTTTTTTTTTTTTAAGATTTTATTTATTTATTTGACAGAGATCACAAGTAGGCAGAGAGAGAGAGAAGAGGAAGCAGGCTCCCTGCAGAGCAGACAGCCCAATGTGGGGCTCGATTCCAGGACCCTGGGATCATGACCTGAGCCGAAGGCAGAGGCTTTAACCCACTGAGCCACCCAGGCGCCCCCCCATGTGGTCACTTTATTTCACCCTCAGATGATCATAACTTTGCCTGATGGGAGTCCTTTCAACATGTGTCCTTTGACAGGACTCTCGAAGTGTTCTTGCTTTCTATACGGCAGGAAATTGCAGGCTCATCTTGTTCATTTCTCTCCCCAGGCGTGGCAGCTTTGGAAGGATGGGGATTTTAGAGACCATGGTCTGGCACCATGGAACTGTTCGTTGTTATCACAGGAGACAGTGCTTTGGGGCCATTTCTGTTGACATAGCTGGAAAAAAATATGTATTTTTTGAAAACCATGAGTTAATACTATAATTTTTATTCAAAAAAATAATAGTTACTACTTAATTATCTAGTTTTATAATTCTTTGTTCCCTTACGCTGAAAATCTTAACACTGAACGTCATATTATGTTTTTTTTTACTTATTTCTGTACCAGAATATAAAGAATATGGTTTCAGCATGCCACAGCAATATTTCTGCAAACACTGAAACTGCTGAATGATTGTTGTGTGTGTATGGGGGCAGGGAGAGAATGTATGTTAAGCAAGAGGTTGATAGAAACGGTACATTTTTTTTAATTATTATTTTTTAATTCCCCTCCCTGCAATGTGGAGAATGGATTCTTAATGGAAGGCAAGATGGTGGTAGCTGCAATTAGAGTGGCGGTAGTTCAGATGGAGAGAATGGGACCAATCCAGAATATTCTGTGCTTTGGGCCTGCCATGTAATGTAGCTTTCCTGTTCCCATCCCGCTCTCTGAGGCGGCACCCACCAGTGGGCATCTTTCAGCCCCTCTTTGTGGTTAATGAGCCTCTCCTTCCCTCCCTAGGATCTCATGGTCCGTAATGACTCTCCCTGTGGAACCACCATCGGACCTATCTTGGCTTCTCGGCTGGGGCTGCGGGTTCTAGATTTAGGCAGCCCTCAGCTGGCCATGCACTCCATCCGGGAGACCGCCTGCACCTCAGGAGTACTCCAGACCCTCACCCTCTTCAAGGTGACTCCTGCCTCACTCGTCCTCGGGACACCCGGGCATGTCGCTGTCTCTCAGGGACCGGTTTGGGTGACGGGAGCTGGTTGTCTCGGGGCTACCATGTAGGAAAGGAAGGGTCCCCCTTCTCCAGGCACAGGGGCCATGATCAGCCTCCAGCGGATAATGAGAGGATGGGGTTGGGGGGATGGGAGGACTGGGGCAGTTGTCAGGGGTGGGTGAACACTGTGCCTCTCTGGCTTGGGCCGTGTTGGCGGGAGGTGTGCCGGAGGGCACCCCCAGCTGCCCTCCACTGATTCCAGATCCCATGTTGCTTTCCATTTTAGGGCTTCTTTGAGTTGTTCCCTTCTCTGAGCCGTAACCTCTTAGTGGATTGAGGCCTCTTGGAAAGACTTCTCTTGTGCTTGAGAAGTGATCAGCTGAGCTGAAGCTGGAGTATTAAAGTGGATTTCTCACTGAGACTCCCTTCTGTGGTGCTTATTTTGGAGATTGGAAGGGTGGGAGTTGAACCTGGCTTGACTTCTGGAACCAGAACAGAGGGGGCGGGAGGGGGCAGGTAGAGGAGGCCCCAGCTCTGGGCAGCAGATGGAGGCCTGATCTCAAATATCCTTTCCTCAAGCCCATGTCTGAAGTCAGAGACAGGTAGGTGCGTCCACAGTTGGAACATCCCTTCTCCCATCCCTGGTCCTCTCTTCTGGGAAGTGGCTTCAGTGCTCTGCCATTACCAGAAGAGTCCAGGACCCCATCTCAGTGCCGTGAGGTCTCCACACTCAGTACAAGGCCCAGGCACTGTTCCCCTCCCTGCCCCTCAGTCTCTTAAACTTTTATAAGCAGTCTCTTATTATTCAGTGTTTTTTCTCTGGTTAATAATTTCCCGTCATTTCTTGTCTTTTCTCCTTTCTCTCTTTTCCCCTCCTTCCTTCCTCTTTCTCTTCCTCCTCCTCCATGTCCTCCTCCTCCTGCTCCTCTTCTTGAGTTTGTTCATCCCCTTTTTTGCTTTACAGTTTGCCTAATTAATGGCTTTCCCCCAGAGCACCAGCAGTGTTACATGTTAGTGTAAGTGTGCTGGTGACGGACACGAGCACAGGACACCCTGGGGTTACCAGCCTTTCTGAGGCAGTCTGCTTTGGAACCGAGCGCCCCCTAGTGTTGATGGGGTCCTAGGATTTCCGCATCTCAGAGACCAGGCGGTGGCCTTTGATCACCGAAGTCTAGTATTTTCTCAGTATGCCATAAACATGTGATAGGAGTGTTTTTATTTCCTTCCTTGTTCTTTGGTTGAACTGGGTGATTTTTGGAGGATGTCCAGAGATATCTGGGCTCAGGCAGCCGCTGCCATCCCACGGGGACTGCCAGTGCTCTTTGTAATAGTAAAATGTGGACTGTGTTGATAGAAGACACTTAGTAACCCACAATGTCCCTCACTTTGATCGCTTCCGTAGACTTGGCCCAACTTCCACCTGCCAACAGTAGCACTTCTTTGCCCCGGGGGCGTGTTTGCTGCTTGACAAGTTTCCCTGTGAAGGCATTTGGAAGTGCTAAGGAACTAATGCTCCCCACCCCAGAGACTAGCCAGAGACTGCCAAGGCTCCAAGAAGACTTCAGCTCCCTCACATCCTGGGAGATATTCTGACATGGGAAGTTGACCCTGGCTTCCTGAATTCCCAGCAGAATTAAGCCTGATAACACCCCCCTTTACTGGCCTCCCTCCCTCTGTCTCACATCCCCACACCGCCACTGGTGTTTCCCTCCACCTCCCAAATGAACTCCTTGCACTTAGATCCTCATCTCAGGTCTGCTGCTGGGGGAGCTTAAACTAAGCTAGTGTTCCTTTGAGAGCTGGAATAAGACAGGGACGCCTGGTTTTCTATTTCCAGTCAACATTGTACTGTTGGTCTCTAGCTTGGTGAAAAAGTGATACAGAGGATAAAAGGAACACTGAAAGGGGAGGAGTAAACGTCCTTTTGATATGATTTGTTAGATAGAAAATCCAAAGGCTATATTACTTGAATTAATAAGAGTTTACCAAAGATAGCTGGCTGAAAAATCAATATACCAAAATTAATTCTATTTATTTAGACCAGCAATGGATAGTTAGAAAACGAAAAATTTTAAAGGACAACTTCTACAAAGCAAAAGTACCTACAAATAAGTATTAAAAGATTTCCATAGAAGAGGTCCAATAATTTGGAAGATAGGTGTTATTTGTGGATGTGAAAATATTGTAAAAATACTGGTTATCCTTCAAATTCACACATAGACTCAGTGCAATCCTAATAATGTAATGGGTTTGCTTCTCTCTACTTATAAATAATGGAAGTTGACATGTGGATTCTATAATATATATAGAAATAGCTACAACACTTTGAAGACAATCACCTTATCAATTATCAAAGCTTATTACAAAACTGATTAAGACAATATATTAATTGGTTCAAGGGTTGATTGACCAGTAGAACCAACAGAGACAAGTATCTGACACTTGATTTATGATGTAAGTGGCAATTCAGATGATCTTTTCAATAAACTGTGCTATGAAAATGGGATATCTACATGGAAAAATTAAGTTGGAACCCTCCCTCCCACAATATGCAAAATTGATTGCAAATGGATTTTAGATCTAAATATAGATGGCAAATAAATAAAGCTTTTAGAAAATATTAAAGGAGAGTACCAGGGCACCTGGGTGGCTCGGTGGGTTAAAGCCTCTGCCTTCCGTTCAGGTCATGATTCCAGGGTCTTGGGATTGAGCCCCACATTGGGCTCCCTGCTCAGCAGGGAGCCTGCTTCCCCCTCTCTCTCTCTGCCTGCCTCTCTGCCTACTTGTGGTCTCTGTCAAATAAAAAATCTTTAAAAGAAAAAAAAAAGGGAGAGTATCTTTATGATCTCGGTTGGGGAAGATTTAAATAGGATACAAAGAACACTAGCATAGAGGAAAAAAAAAGGGAGAGTATCTTTATGATCTCGGTTGGGGAAGATTTAAATAGGATACAAAGAACACTAGCATAGAGGAAAATATTGACATATTTGACCTCATCGAAATTAAGACATCATTAAGAGGATTAAGGAGGCTTATTTGCAACACATGTAATTGACATAGAGCTCCTATTCAGAGTACATAAGACCTACAGACAGTAAGAAAAGTCAGATATCTAAAAGAATGGGCAAAATACTTAAGTGGGCACTCCATAATAAAAAGCCATTAAATATATGAAAACATGCTCTTCTTCCACAGTCATCAGAGAAATGTTGGGTTGAATCATGAAATTGTTTGTTTGACCATTTTGACCTACAAAATGGCAATATCATGTGCTTTAATCTAATATAAATTAAAACCACGATGGGTCACCATTACACACCCCATCATGATATACACGATTTTAAAAATTTTAAAATCCTATAATACCAAGTGTTGGTAAGGATGTGGAGCAACAAGAAATCTCAGACAACTTCAGTGCGAATGTAAAGTGACAACAGTTTAGGACATCAGTTCAGCGTTAGCCTTGTTGACGCAGCTACTCTACTCCCCCAGACCACCTCCATAGAACTGAGATAAGGAAACCGAAGGACTCCGTAAAAATCTACGTTTTGCTCCCATTTCCTGCTTCTCTTCCTGCTAAGGCCATACACCCACATACACATGCTGTGTAATGCAAACAGCATATGCCCTCCTTGGAGGGGACAAAGAGTTAATGCTTTTTTTTTTTTTTAAGATTTTTTAAATTTATTTTTGAGATCACAAGTAGGCAGAGAGGCAGGCAAAGAGAGAGGGGAAAGCAGGCTCCCCGCTGAGCAGGGAGCCCGATGTGGGGCTCGATCCCAGGACCCTGAGATCATGACCTGAGCCGAAGGCAGAGGCTTAACCCACTTAGCCACCCAGGCACCCCAAGTTAATGCTTTCTTTAGACTAGCTAACATCTAAGCAAGGACCAGATGAGAATGACCGGATGAAGCCCTCCTATGCATATTCCAGACAACCCACACTAGCCATCTCAATGCCAAGCCCCCCAGCTCCAAGGAATAATACCTGGGCCCTTGTCTTTGTTCCCGCCGGTTCCTGGATGCTTGAGAGGACATGTACACTGGACCACAGTCCTCAATAAATACCCTTAGGTCTCAAGCAAAGAGGAGACTCTTTTTTCCTTTCTGAGTCTCCTAGACACTCTGAGCCTGCACTCACTCTCTACCCTCAGTAAACTCTGCTTTCATCTCCTGCTGGCTTGCATTTGATTTTTACCCTGCACGCAGCCAGGAATCCTCTTGGCTGGTCCTGTGGGACCTCTTCTGGGTCCCTGGCCCCAGCCTGCTGGCATCAGAAGCATTTGCATGTGCACCACAAATATTCACAGCAACTGTACATAAGATTCCCAAACTGGCAACAACCCAAGAGTCCATACACAATACAGTAGATACTGGGAGAGATGCCAGTTTTGTGGAGGTTGAAACATATAATTTGGGGGACCCTCTTTAAGTAGAAGAATACCAAATTACAGATAAGAATTTAGTATGAAAGCAAATATCTCATAAGAATGAGGACAAACAGGGGTGCCTGGGTGGCTCAGTCTGTTGGGCGTCTGCCTTTGGCTCAGGCCAGGATCTCAGGGTCCTGGGATCGAGCCCTACATCGAGCGTCCTGCTCAGTGGGGAGTCTGCTTCTCCCTCTCCCTCTGTCTGCCTCTCTGCCTGCTTGTACTCTCTCTCTGTCTCTCTCTGTGTCAAATAAATAAATAAATAAAATCTTTGATAAAAAAAAAGAATGAGGGCAAACAAAAAAAAAAAATGAGGACAAACGTAAACGCCACATCACCATCTCAATAGATGCAGAAAAAGCATCGACCAAATCCAACATCCTTTCATTAAAAAAAAGTCACACCCAGAAATAGGAGGGAACTTCCTAACCTGATAAAGAGTATCCATGAAAAACCCACAGATAAACATCATACTCAGTGATGAAGGACTGAAAGCTATCCCCTGAAAGATCAGACACAAGGCAAGGAAGTCTGCTCTCACCAATTTTAGTCAACATTAGACTGGAGCTTCTATCCAGGCCAGTGAGGCAAGAAAAAGCATAGCTAGAAGTAGAAAATATAGTATAACAAGTTACTTTTGCAAATCGTATAAAAATATTTGATCATGTGAACACACAGCTAGGGCTCCTCCCAGAGCCTTGGAAGGGATCTGGGAAGAGGAGGACCCCGAAGGCTGGAGGTTCTTCAGCTTCTGGATCCTAGTGTCAAGTTATCACACAATGGAAGACTATAAAGCAATGAAAATGAATACAATAGTGTTTCATTTGATGATATGGGTAAATCTTTAAAGTATAATGTTCGGAGAAGGCACCTGGGTGGCTCAGTTATTAAACATCTGATGGCAGCTCAGGTCATGATCTCAGGGTCCCGGGATCAAGACCCACCTCGGGCTCCCCATTCAGTGGGGCGTCGGCTTCTCCCTTTTTCTCTGC